ATTGCTGGCTCATGGTCATCCTGCTATTCACTAGAAGACCAAGGTCCCTTTCTCCTACACTGCTCTCCAGCAGGTCAGACCCCACCTATACTGGCACATGGGGTTATTCTTCCCCAAGTGAAAAACCCTACACCTGCCCTTGTTGAACTTCATAAGATTTCTCCCCGCCCAGCCCTCTAGCCTGTCTAAGTCTCTTTGAGTGGCTGGCAAAAAAGCCATTAATGTGTGCATTGCAGCACAATCAGGTGCAATGTGGAGATCTCAGAGCTATCACAGACATGTTCTGTCCACAGCATCCAGCCCAGTGCCTTGCAGGGTCATCACAGGGTCATAGAATGTTTTGAGTTGGAAGGGACCTTAAAGATCATGTAGTTCCAACACCCCTGCCATGTACAGGGACACCTTCCAGTACACCAGGTTGCTTAAAGCCCCATCCAGCCTGACCTTGAACACTTCCAGGGAGGGGGCATCCACAACTTCTCTGGGTAACCTCTTTCAGTCTCTCGCCACTCTCACAATGAAGAACTTCTTTACATCTAATCTAAATCTACCCTCTTTTAGTTTAAAGCCATTACTCTCTGTCCTATCACTACCTGCCCTTGTAAAAAGTTCTTCTCCAGCTTTCCTGTAAGCCCCCATTAAGTACTGGAAGGCTGGTCTAAGATGTCCTCAGAGCCTTCTCTTCTGAAGACTGAACAACCCCAACTCTCTCAGACTGTCCTCACAGGGGAGGTGCTCCAGCACTCTGATCATCTTCATGGCCCTTCTCTGGACCCCTTTGAGCAGATCCGTGTCTTTCTTACACTGGGGGTCCCGGAGCTGGATGCAGTACTCCAGGTGGGGTCTCTTGAGAGCAGAGTAGAGGGGGAGAATCACCTCCCTCAACCTGCTGGTCACACTTCTTTTGATACACTCCAGGATACGGTTGGCCTTCTGGGCTGCAAACACACATTGCCAGATCATCTTGAGCTTCTCATCAACTGAAAACCCCAAATCCTTCTTCTCAGAGTTTGGGCTGGAACAGTTTTACCCCTTTCATATATTTGATGGTGCTTCACTGGTATGGCACAGAGCTTTGCAGGTTGGATGATACTGTTCTCTACTTGTGCTGCAGTGTAGGTTCAGTCTCTGTTGGCCGGACTTGAAGTTTCTTGGGGGTATCTAAAGTTTATTTTCTTCTTTTTTCATGCCACAAACAGGAGTCTAGTTTTTTGATGGTAGCACTTGACATCACATGTCTTTTGCATTGTCTCAGTTTCTCTGGGCTAGAATGAGAATCAATTTTCTGTTCAGGAAAGCTGCATTTTTGAGAAGACTGCAGCACCCGATTCGATGAGAACAAAGTTGTGAAGACACTGTGTTTTAGTTTGTGGCCAGATTTAGCAGTTTCAGATTAGCCAGGTGTTGAAGCTAGGAGCTGGCTCAAGCTGGCCAGAAATATTTCATACTATAAGTGTCACGCTCACTATAAATTGGGAAGTTCACTGCAGACAGTCTCTTTCTCAACAGTTACCATACCTGTAGGATTTCACCCATCAGCCTACTCTCCTCTTCATTATGACCACCATGCTTTCACTGGAGCTGTGGTGCTTGCAGTGCTCAACACCTGACATTCACAGCTCACCACCGCTAGATAGGCTGAGTGTAACTGTACTTTATATTAGTATTAATTTTAATATTAAGGGGTTTTATTATTATCCATTTCCATTCCAACCCATGGGTCTCTTTTCCTCATTCTTCTTTCTCCTTGAGATGGGTGGTCACTGGGTGTTAGAACAGCTGACTAAAGGAAGACAGCATGTCAACATCTTTGGTTTTTCTGGGCATTTCCAAGCCACCATCACTGGCCTTGGAAGGCTGATAATTGCACAGCTGCTTGGCAGAGAAAAGTAGTCAGTGCCCTTCAGTGCTATGTTCTTATTCCTAGTAACTGGCCTGCAGGATAAATACATATTCATAGTATAGAAAATAGTGAGAATACCAGACTTTGACATGCTATTATGTATTTTGTTTGGGAGACAGTATGGACAAGGAGGTGATAACAAGCTTGGGGCTGAGGCTAGGAAGTGCGGATAGGCATTACAGGGAGCAAGGACGTAAGGACGTAGGCACAACGGAGCAAGAACCATTGTATGTTTTGAGGGGAGCGCAAAAACAAAAAATAGAGAGCTAGAGCTGTAGATATTGTTGATATTGTATAAATGCTCTGATCATAGAATGGCCTAAGCTGGAAGGGACCTTAGAGATCGTTTGGAGGTGCCACCCCTGCCGGCAGGGATGCCACCTCTCGACTAGATCAGGCAACACATGGGGACCAAACAGGAATTGAACCCGTGACCTTGGTGTTGTTAGCGCTACGCTCAACTGACTGAGCTAACCGGCTGCCTTTGATATTTATCTGTAGTCTGTAGAAAAGACTGTATATTAGTTCTCTTGAATGTTTACATGGCTCTTATTCTTAAAATCTGCAGGCTGTTTTTTCCTTTACCTTAAATTTTTTTAGCAAGAGACTTTATGTTGGAAACCCCCTGTTAAAATACTTGGGGAAAAAAAGGAATAGTTTACTATAGATCCTAAACCAGTTTCCCTTGGGTAGGTACGGTGTTTTTACTTGGTAGGTATTTGTGGTATCTTTGTCTTTTTGTTTGCAAATCAGTGAATTCCCTGGGATATTATATTCAGAAAGATTGTCAGGTAACAGTCTATCTGAGGTGATTCTACATATTTGATGATTTATGGGAGAGATGATTGAAAGCAATAAAGGAATACTAATTTTTGATCTTTATTATTCTAACCTCTCAGGAAAATCAGGGGGATTTGCACAAGAAAACAACACTATAGATTCTGGAGAACTTGATATAGGCCGAAGAGCAATACAAGAAGTTCCCCCTGGGATTTTTTGGAGATCACAACTCTTCATTGATCAGCCACAATTTCTAAAATTCAATATATCCCTCCAGAAAGATGCACTGATTGGAGTGTATGGCCGTAAAGGCTTACCACCTTCACACACTCAGGTGAGAACTGCTTGCATTAAAAGTAAGACTTGTTATTGAAAACTGTGAGCTTGTATCTATTGTATCTTTTTTCTTTCTCAGGATTACATTCTTTCCCATGTTGCTGATTTTTATTTTTACTTCTTAGACTTTATTGATCTCATGTGGTGTCCAAAACATTTATAATACTGTAAGTGATGGGATCTAAATTGTGGGGTAGTTTTATTTATAAGCTCTTCTGAATACCATGAGCAATGTTGGTGCTTTAGATATGGAATTGTTTCATGCAGAATTTATAGGTACTTCTTTTCTTCTGTGGTATATAGACATATCATTAAAAATCTGAGCAAACTAATACCACATCTTATCACCACACATGTGGTCTAGAGTACTTGACAAAGACTGCATTAGCCAAATTTCCAAGCAATAAGACAGCATTTTTTTAAGGAAGTTTTAGTTTGTTCTACAAGCAAATGCTACAGTATTTACAGCTTGGTGTCTTAATAAATAAGTGCATAAAAGAAAAAATATGCAATATGTGCCTACAAAGACATAGTGAACCGCAACTATAACGGTCTCAGTGACTCACTATATACTAGTGTCTTGAAACTTTGTTCTTAAGTGTCCAGAGGATTTATTCTGCTCCACCCCTGAGAAGGTTTCTAACAACACTTGTCAGTGCATACGATCATCCCTTTGCCTAGTAACAAAGAAACACTGTTTATCCATGGTTACAGAAAAAAGGTATAAAAGAATGAATAACCTTCTAGACTGGCAGGAGAAAGGGAGAATCATTGTCCGTGAGATGGTATTTTGGAACCAATTGTATTCAGATTTTATTTTAAGACGCTCGAAGTTTAGATTTCTTTCGGCTTAATATTTGTCCAAGTGCTGGCTCTGAACCATTTTTTGACCTGAAAAGGGCATTGAGCTCATGCTTTTGTACCCTATTTAGAAAATTATGCAACATGTTACTGATTTGGGGGAGTTTTTAAGTGTATGGATTTGCCTTGGACACAACTCTTAAGAATAGCAACCTAATAGTATAATTGGAATGAAGCTTGACAAATTATTGACACAGTTGCAACAGCAAAATCCATAACTACAAACCTTTTTTTTTGTTAATTTTGGTTTGCACGCTACTTACTGTGCTTTTGAAAACATTTTGTTTTTTCTTCAGAGATAAATTTTAAAAGACCTAAAACATAGAAATATTGCTAATTATAGCACCTATTTAGCAGCTGCAAACCACAGAGGAAGAATTAGGGTCAGCAAAGGAGTTTCATGCAGCTAAAATCACAGAATGCTATATTAGCTTTATTGTTTAGTTTAGTTTTCATTAAACTACAAACAGTTTACTGACTGCAGAAAATGCACTTGTGTTTATTTAAAGATTTGATCCTCATAAAAATGATTAAATGGATTTTCTTCACACCTTCACATATGAACACCCACCCTCAGGCTGACAACAAGCTTGAGAAATTCTAGCTCAAAGAAAATTGATTCAGAAAGTTATCAGCCATTGGAAATAGGGGTTTGGAATACAAATGTCATCTCAGTGATAACAATAATAACAGGAGCTAGGGGAATACATGTGTGGCAAGAATGAATAAAATGAAGAAGCTGATCTGAACTGTGCATTTATATGAGACATTAGGCAGGTAGATACATCTCTGAAAAGTTATCCTTACTTGATTCCATGTCCTGGTGACGGATTGAAGTAGAGGTACCCTTCAACTGAAACATTTGGGAAAAGGAGATAACCAGATCGGTGTCCCATCATCTGTGTTACGCAGGGTGCTTTCCCTTTGGATTCCTACTGCCCAAGTGCTTGTTCCTGTTTAAGTATGGTACAACAGAAAGAACCATGTGCAAATCCTGCTACTCTATCTTCTGTAGTTTCTCTGACAACTTGGATATATTGTTCCCAGGATATGGGTCAAGATCTCTTGTCCTATTTTTCCTGATATATAATTAGAGCATTTTTTACAAACCCTTTGACTGACACTTGATACCTTGAAAAATTAAGCATGCTTACTTGTCAGTGCCCTATTGAACTTCTAGGGCTGCTGAAGATTCTCAAGAGTGCAGGGTTATCAGAATGTTTATATGGCCTTGAACCCAATGATGTCTGGTTTAGGTGCCTCAGATAAAGCATGTGTGTCATCTCCTAAAAATGCAATTCCGTGAACAGTTGTTTTGGTTTGGGTTTTTTTTCTGTGACTGTGCTCCTGCACCTGGGGGTAAAAAATGAAGTAAAATATTTTTCAACAGTTTAGGCCTCTCTGCAGCAAAGTCCAAATCACAGGACTTTGATGAAGATGTAACTTCTACTGGTAAAATATATATTTTACCAAAGTAGCTTATATAAACAAAACAAGATATTTGGGCAAAAGGAAGTCTAATGAAATAGAACATTGTGTGGTTTGCAAGCATAAATGAGTTCATTGTTTTCTTATTTGCCCTAAACCTTTTGGCTTGTACTGGCAAACGTTCTTAACTGCAAGCCAGGCATAGCTGGCAGGGGCAGACCATGAGCTAATTCTGGGTTTCTCTGCATCCTTCCATCGGACAAGGCACCAGAGCATTAGAAAAATGCATGAATGTCCACGCTTGGTCTGATCAAAGGCCCACCTAGCTCAGCATTCTGACTGTGATGGTGGCCATTAGCAGACATGTAGAGATTAATACAGCAGCATGATGTATTTGTAGTTATTCTTCCTAGAATACACTCCTGGCCTCCAGTGTTTTAAGGCCAAAGGACTGCCTGAGTCAAAGATCCTGTCTTTGTTTTTTACAACCTTTGACAGATTACTTTTTTCTGTGAATTTGCTTAGTTGTCTTTGAACCTATGGAAGCCTTTAGAATTTGTGGCATTTGTAGCAAGGAGTTTTAATGGCTTAACTACACCTCTCACATTATATTTTTCAATGTGTTTTGAGGCAGCCGCCTAGTAGGTTTAGTTCAACATCCTGTTAGTACTGTTTTGGAAGAGGCAGTGGAGAGTTTCTCACCATGTTCTTATCCATGCCACCCTTTATTTCTAGATCTCTAGTATCCTCAGTAAGTTGTGTCTTGTTTTCTAGTCTATTTCATCATTCTTTATATGAAGGCTGCTTCAGTCATTTGATCACGCTTGTCCTTTTCTGAATGTTGTCCAGTTTTTCTACAGCTTTCTTGAGATGGGGGCATCAGAACAGCACAGAATGTAGCAGATGTTTAACTATAATGGTTTCATACAATGCCTTAATGATGTCTGCTTTTCTGTGGTTTTTTATCGTAGAACAGATACTTCTGTAGATCTGTCTACCATAGCTCCAAGATCTCATCCCAGAGTGACAAAAGTTGGCTCAGAGCCCATCTCTGGATGTGTAAAGCTAGGGTTGTCTCATGAGGACTTTGAAAATAGGATCTCACCCATATATATCACTTCATGTCTGCGTCTCTTGAAAGCTATCTGCCCTTATCTCCTAGTCACAGAATGACAAGTGCTAATAACAAAATTTATGCAAATGAGCAACTGCTGCCTGTTTCTCAAACGTCAGTATTTGAATTTTCAGATCTTATAATAGAGAAGTGATTACTACCTGCACTCTGCCAGCATTTGTAAAGCTTCCTTACCAGCTGGCCGCCTTCCATATCCTTGCTCGTACGCCTATGATACCCTCTGTGTGTAACCACGCACCACCTTCTTCAGCTCCCTCCTCGCAGCTTCAGTGTTTCTATGAAAGTCTGCCTTCTCTCCATGTCACCTTTGGCTGTAATGCAAAACTTGCCTGTTATATTTGCCACCTCGTTCTCCACTTCTCTCCTGGATCTTTTGCCTGTCTGTCCACCTCTTTTTTTATATCTGGTTGAAAACAAACAGTGAGTAAGAGAAAACTGGAGTCTATCTTTCCATACCTGTAAAACCTCTGACGCCAGTTGTCCTACCACTGCAATGGGTATAATGAAAGTCTGAAAGAAATGAGCTTGGGAGAGATCTCAAGAAGTCTTTTCATTTGCACCCTTGTTGTGGAACAAGATCCACTATATCTAAACCATTTCTATCAGTTGCTTGGCATTTCATCATAAAATAATAACAGAATGCAGCAAATTTAACTCTCCTTCTGTTCCATAATCCAAGATAATGGGGATATAGCATGTAGAAAATGGTTTGATATATTGTAATTGGGACAGATTTTTTGGCTGTGTTTCTGTATTCTCTTTAGGTACCGAAATCAGTTTCAAGCACAGCCACTGTGTGTGTGTCACAAACCGATCTGAGATGCATAGTTCTCTCTTTCTGGGGAATCATAAATAAATCAACCAGAAATAATTGACGGTGGCTGTCCATTCAAAGCCCAATCAATGCAAGCCTGAAAGTCTTTGTGACACTTTCTAAAAATGTCAGTTCCATTGCAGCCAGAGAATCAATATGTTTATTTAAAGAGACTTTAAGAATAAGAAAAAGGACTTTAGTTTAAAGTGAATGGAGTGGTAGGGCAAATCAGTGCATTTAGACTCAGTATAAAGGTAATTAATTTATCCTCATAGGAGGTAAAAAAAATTGGTATGTTTTTTGCTTATGAAGATAATTGGTTTTCAGTCTGTTTCTATTATCATGTCCTAAATATGAAAACCCAGCCTTTAAAAGGGTTAAGATCAATTATTGTTTTTTTGCTGGGGGACAGACTGTGAACAGTAAATTCCCCTCTGTTATGGCTTCTAAAATGTAGTCTGAAATGGTGTTCTGGTAACGGCACATGTCCTTATTACATTACAAAAACAAAATCATTAATTGTATCATCCTTGTGCGCCATTAGTATACTCTTCGTGGTCAATCAAGTAGTGTAATCACTTGTTCCTGTATAAAAAATACAGATTTTGTCTGAAATTGTCTTCCTAAAAGAATGATCGTCTGCAGTGTACAGATTACAAGGTCACTCCTAATGTCCATAAATGGCTTGCTAAAACTCAGAACACCACAAGCTTTCTCTTTTTTTAAAAGATTAGTGAAAAAACATGACCAGAAAGAAGTGTTCTTGAATCAGGCAGGAGGGGAAAAAAAGAAAAAAAAAACAAAACAAACCTAAAACTGTTTTTTCTCTCACACACAAAATGAGATAAATATTTAATTCTCTGACAAATGAGAATGTTGAATGGTTTTGAATAATTGGTGCTCTCTCAAAACGGTTGCGTTTGTTTTCATATGGTGCAGCACGTACACTCAGAGTGACAGCACACTGAGGTATCAGCTTCTGCACATCCTAATCACATTATGTTCTATTCTGCTGGTTGAGACGTAGCCAGAAAAGTGTCTCAGGTGTTGATAGGGGCGTATTAACTATACATTACCTTCCATCTGACTGGTAAGAAGATAATTCTGATTATTGGGGAGGAACGTTCTCAGAATAGCCATGAAGTTTAGCCTGCAATTTCAAGAAGAAAACATAAGTACTTAAACCCTTGTCCCAGGACAAAGGCTATCATGTTTTCTTCTGTCCCAGGAGCAGTTTCTGAAGGTCACAAGTCAGGGTGTAAACCCACCGATTCTCTGGTCCTGGTAACCGATGTTATCCTAGCTTCAGTGACTCAGCGTTTTCACAAACTGGCCTTTAAGAGGTCCTGGATGTAATTCCATTTCAGAGGGATCTCAAGTGTATGGGGATGTTGAAGGTTTATGTGTTACAGTTCACTTCATACAATAAACATGTGTCAGAATAACAGAATCAGCAGGAACAGCCAAGACTCTCTACCACAAGCAAGAGTGCTCTTTAATTTTCCTACCTGTTTAATTTTGCTGCATACATACTGATCTTGACATGATAAATATGCAGAAGACATCTCTCAAGCCATAAGATCAAACTGCCAGATAGTGTAAATCAGCGCAGGGCCCCGAGCAGATTTAGCCCTCTAGCTGTTATTAGTGCTAGCTAAGATTAACATGCATAAAACTTTGTGTTATGAATTTGCTTGTAACATCAGCTGAGATGCTGCTACATTTTTCCAAGCCCCACTAATCATACAATCATAGATTCATTTAGGTTGGGTGATGTTTGTTAGCAATTTGATGGTTGTTAAAAAACAACTGAATATGCTGTCCGTTGACCTGAGGTATCATATTTTTTGTCAGTTTGTGATTTTCAGTAATTGCAATGTTTTATGCTTTATATCTTTTCTTTGATGCGTCTGTGATAGGAAGTAAAGCTCTTGCTCTCCTTCCTCCAGAATAAAGACCAAAAGAAGGATTAAACAATTTAATTCTTCATCTGTAACTAAATGAAAAGCCAAGTAGATTATTGGGGTTTAATATTGTTATTAACTCATATGCATATAACACACTTTGAAAGTTAACTCTCACCTGTAATTCAGGTGACAGTAATAACGGTGGATTCATTTCAGATGCTGTTTTCTTCATTCAATATATGTAATAGCTCATTGGCTGCTTGTCACAAAAAAAAATGATAAGCATTTTTGTTTGAAGTCTTATCAATGGGCAGAGAAATGAGCAAGGGTTGGTTTTAGCTCCCTTCCTTGCTCCACAAGGAAGCTCTTGGTCAAAATGCCAGCCTGTTGTCAGGATGTTGTGGGGAAGCTGGTGGTGCCATGGGTCATCCCATGCCTTGCCAAGCTCCTGTCTGTTCCTCCCTGCAGTACGACTTTGTGGAGCTCCTGGATGGCAGCCGGCTGATTGCAAGGGAGCAACGCAACCTGCTGGAATCGGAGCGAGCGGGGCGGCAGGCAAGGTCTGTCAGTCTCCATGAAGCAGGTTTTATCCAGTATTTGGATTCTGGCATCTGGCATCTGGCCTTCTATAACGATGGGAAAAATGCGGAGCAGGTGTCTTTTAATACCATAATTATAGGTAAGCATATTCTTCAAAGCTCTTACCGAATTTTTTGGAATTTTTAGGAATACAGAGATAAACCTTTGGACTTAAATGATCTGACTTTTTTTTCACAGGTTTTCCATTTTTCTGCTCGGAACAAAATGTAGAATATCTATGTTAATTACTTGTTCTAAAGCATAAGGAGTGTACCTTCTTGTAAAACAGTCCTTGAAAGGAGGACACTGTTTTGAAGTATTTGTTAAGTGGCACAGCGCCGTATTTTAAGTATGGAGCTGGTATGATTTCAACATTATAATTTGAGCCTTTTTCTTGGAGCATAGTGTCCTAAGATAGCAGAGGGATCGGCAATAAAAAATCACTCCTCAGAGTGAGAGCACGCTGTCAGTTAGTAGTGGTTCAAATTATAGGTGCTTCATGCGGTGGGCGTCTGTGAATTATCTTCCTTTTTTTCCCTTTAGAGTCTGTGGTGGAATGCCCCCGAAATTGCCATGGTAACGGCGAATGCGTTTCTGGATCCTGCCATTGTTTTCCTGGGTTTCTGGGCCCCGATTGTTCGAGAGGTAAATCAAACCAATGCTTTTCTCAAGTCAGTTCAAGCAAGCATGAAGACAAGTATATCGGGAAAGCAAGTAGCATGTGACTTGCTTCTTAGATGTTCTTTTTTATAAAGCTTTAGTGAAGACCTTGGTTTTAATTTTTCCTGCCGTGTTCTATTTGACAGCAGCCTGCCCGGTGCTGTGTAGTGGCAATGGGCAGTACTCCAAAGGGCGCTGCCTGTGTTACAGCGGCTGGAAGGGCACCGAGTGTGACGTGCCTACAACTCAGTGCATCGATCCCCAGTGTGGGGGCCGGGGCATTTGCATCATGGGCTCTTGTGCCTGCAACTCGGGATACAAAGGAGAAAACTGTGAAGAAGGTAAATGAGTAAATATTTTCCCCAGCACGTGCTGTTGTTGGTCAGGTTTCCAGCTGGCACGTCCAGCTCTATGTGTCACGTCTAGATCATTTGCACTAATGGCATTTCTTCAAAAATCAGTTTAGAATACTAAAAAATGAAGTTTGAGGAATTACTAGGGTCACTGAATTTTACAGAATTATTATACTTTATTATTCTCAAGTAATCAGTATGAAAATTCTTAATAATATCTGATAACTTTTTGTTTGCCCCCTTTTTTTTTTTTCTGACTGAGGTAAGCTAAAAAAATAGATGTTGGAATACAGGAAGACTTACTGAATTTTCACAGTATAGAATAAATCATTAATGTATTGCATTTGTTAGTGATCTTTTCCACCAACTACATTTTGGAAAGTGCTGATTCAAACACATCAGAGTGAAAAATGATGTGTCATTTTTGTATTCCAAAGATGTGCATAATAACATTCATTCTGGTGTGCTGCAAAATCGAGTTCATGTTCCATTCTCCGTTCTTAGGGAGTAAAACCCGCCATTTTCCTCCTCAATCAAATTGATTTTATTGATCTCCACATACAAAGTAATGCAATTAAGTCTCTGGAATTAAATTTTCAGACCATTGACCCTACAAGTGTAACATTTTATTGAGTCAAATTGCTAAATTAAATCTCGTCATCTAAAGCACATTAGAGTGAATTAAGACAGATAGACAGTATGCAACTCATTTATTTCTGAAACAAGTTGAGGGTCCTGTACAGCTGTCAAAACTCTGTAGCGGTGGATTGGGTCAGTTGATACCGCGTACAGCAGGAAATCCAGCGCTTGTTACGCTGTGCTCAGGCAAAACAGGGATCAGTTGCCCAGGACCCAAAGCCTGTTGTAATTCAGAAAATTTACCAAACCTTGAAAGGTTCTCCACAGTGGTAGCCTGCAAATGTCTTGATGCCGGTTATGTGCCCACACAAATTTCACAGTACCAGAAAGGGGTGTAGAAGCGAGGTGTTTTTACAAAGAAAATTGCTGCTATGAATTTAGTGATCATAAAGAGTGATTTATCTTGTAGCTGGCCCCAGCATGCTTTGATCCACTCTATCTTTTCCTCACTCATTGCAGTGAAACACAGGTGAACACCTCAGTTTCAAGCTGCTCATGTTTACTTTTAAGAAGAGTGCAATGCTGCTCTTTCACAAGCTCTTAAAATGTGGATTAAGCCGAAAAGTGCTGTGAGCATCTAGGGTTTGATTCTGTTGTTAGGAATTACAGGTTTAAGCTGGCCTTTCTCATTTTTCTGCAGCGGATTGCTTGGACCCAGCCTGCTCCAGCCATGGCGTCTGCATCCACGGCGAGTGCCATTGCAACCCGGGCTGGGGTGGCAGCAACTGTGAAATTCTGAAGACGATGTGCCCTGACCAGTGCTCTGGCCATGGCACCTACCTTCAAGAGAGTGGTACCTGCACCTGTGACCCCAACTGGACAGGTCCAGATTGCTCCAATGGTAAGGGTTAAAAGCGCTCTCATTCCATAAAATGGTGACGTGTTTTGAATAGAAACGTTTTAACGCCATTATTGTGTTAGGACCTGAACTGATGGAAGTCTGTGAGTTGAGTTCAGCATGAACTATAAATTGATTCAAAAGTTCAAAATACATGATGAATTTCAAGTATTTGGAAATCAATGTATTCGCTGGAATCTTTTAGCTGTCTTCTTCTGGTAATGGCAGGTACTTCCACATGCAAGTACAGAACGTTCTTTGTACAATGCATGGATCCAAGTATTCTCTTACCTAATACATGTATTTAGAAGCTTAAAACTGCGCTACGGAAACTAGAGACAGTCACATTTTAAAATCTCTCCAGCTAATTGGAAGTATTTTTCTTGAAAAACAGACAGCGTTCCAGTTTGAAGGCAAAGGGAACGCAAGAATGAATCCTAAACAGCCTTTGAGGAAGGGGCAGGCTGCCAGGTTGGAAGGAGTTGGTAGGAGTGAAGAAGCAGAGGGATTTCTTGAAGTCTGAAACTGAGGTTATTAAAACCATAGCCTGAGCTTACAAACAAAAGGAAAAAATGACTGGAGGTACCTCCACAGAAAGCAGAATCTAAATATTTATAAAGTATGACAGCAGCCTTTTGACAAATACGAGTTTTTAGAATATTGTTTGGTAGCCACATATCAAAAAGAGAAATCACGTCTAGCTGTGAGACATATATTTGTCTAAAACAGTTCATCTCACAACTCAGATGATTTTGTTAATGAAAACTGAACACATGGGCTAGCTGGGTTTATGCCAGCTTATGAATAAATATAGCTTTTTCATGAGGAACCATCTTTTTAAAACAAATGTACTTCCTGACCAAGATCTGTGATACTCCATAATAGTTTATGAATACAGGAGTGATAGGACAGAGTTCCAAATGCAAGAAAATGTGAAGAGAGAATAAAATGTTATGTTCTGTTAAATTTGTTTAGCAAAAAAATTCTTCTCTGAACATTTCTATTTCTCAAGCAAAACATGGATCCTCTCTTTCTTGACACAGTGTCCACTATGCTATTTTTGATGATTTGGTTATCCTCCATCTCTTACTTACATTTCAAGGAACGATTGGTCATCAAAATAACATAAAATATTTCTGATCTTCTCATACATTTCAAAAGCGTCAAACTCATAAAAGAGCTATGTAAAAATACACATAGACTGTTTGCTGAAGTTATGCAAAATGACCTTCGGAGTGGCATAATAAAAAAGTAAGTCTTACCCAGAAACATTTTGTTAAGCTGCTAGAAGAAAAAGAGAATGAATTATTTCCATCGGGGGTTCATAGGTTTGAAATCAGCAGAGCTTTTCTCTATCTTCATCAGCAGTTTGTCCGTTAATTAGCCCTTCAATTCCACTTCAATTAAATTAACTCTAATTAATAAGTTCATTACAAAGATTGGCGCACCTTGCTCAAAGCTAGTGTGCTAAAAGCTGATAAACACCTTCACCCTAATGAAAAATTGATTAGATTGAAGAGAAATAAACCTTTCTTTCTTGGAGCTGCGTTTACATTTTGAGAGTCTAAAATTAATGAAACTATCTTCCATCTTTTAATCAAAAATTAAAGTCAAAGTAGATATAAAATGCTGTATGGAGGGGGGAGGTTGGAAAGGAGGGAGAAATTACAGCTGTCTTTCTCCATAAAGGGTTTGGGCTATTTCTAATGGGAAATGTCACAGCTCCTTGATACCATGTTTAATGTTCCACAGCACTTTGAGACAGAGGGTTATATTCTATAGAGTGAGAAAAACACTGTTGAGTGGGAAACTGGAAACCTTTCTTGTGCTGAATGCTTCTTTCTTTTGCTGTTGAAAATAATTTCAGTCTTTTATTACTAAACCGTTTGTTGTCTTTCACAACAAAACAAAAACTAAATACAGCACTTTTATGAACCAGTACGTGGTTACAGCCAGCTGTGTGCCAAGGAACTGAAGAAGTCCCTCAGGCTGTATTGTATCTCCTCTTGTTTTTCTGTTGTCTGCTTAGCAGAAGTAAAGTTTGCTGGAGTCTGACTAAATGAACCAAAACTGTAAATGCAAAATCTGGCAGCCTAAATTATCATCTTTATTAGCTGAGACTTAACATGCGTTGTTTGGCCTCTGACTACCTTTGGCTGTTAACATATTTTTCAATTATTCTATCAGTTACAAAAGCCTGTTACTATATGTAAATGACAAGTTAAATTGCTGTATGTTGATTTATTTTTTTAACAATCTATTATTTAAACCAGACTCTTCTTAGATGTCACTGATACAAGTTTACTGAAAGTAAAAGAGAATCATCTTTTACATTTAACAGATGTGTCACTATGTCAGCATAGTACTAATTTGTCTCACTAAGGCTGCTTCTTTATAATGAAAAAATGTGTCAAAAATGACACGTTTTTACTTTGAAAGAAAACAGAGCGGGGTAGGGCGGGGAGACCTTGTTAAAATGAACTTTCATTAATACTGGATTTTCACTCCCAGCATGATGACCTAGGTATATGGTACATTTAGTCACTGGGAATACACTATATATTCTAGTAGGGCTAGGTGCCACATAATCAAAGATATAAAAGGTTACTCTTAAGAGTGATATGTGATCAGAAAAAAAATGACTAAAAATTACTCAGAGCTAACAGAAGAGCTTCAGACACTTAAGCACCACTAAGTCTGCTGGAAAACTAAGAGAGTGTTAGCACAGAGATAAATCTCTGCTCTGTATTCTGTTGGGTCATACCTGAAAATGCCTTTCACAGTAAACTCCGTTGATTCAATTTTCAAAGTTTTTGCCTCTCTTATTCTTCACATGTTGCATTCAAATGTAGCACTGCTAATACATGCATACCCTTTCTCTCCTGTGTGTACTCTCTGCCTCCTTTCCTCCCCCGTTTCTCCTCTCGGATCCAGAAATCTGTTCGGTGGACTGCGGCACGCACGGCGTGTGCATGGGCGGCTCATGTCGCTGCGAGGAAGGCTGGACGGGCGCAGCCTGCAACCAGAGAGCCTGCCATCCCCGCTGCGCAGAGCACGGCACCTGTAAAGACGGGAAGTGTGAATGTAGCCAGGGATGGAACGGAGAGCACTGCACCATTGGTAGGCTGGCTATGCTTTACCCTCTCTCAGCTGCTAAATTCAAATGCGGCCAGCACTGCTGGCTGCGTCTGAATAAGAAGTATGCTACTTTGAAGCTTATTTCTTCAAACAGAATATTTGCACGTGTCAGTCTGTGTAAAGGAGCTGATATTTTAAGAGACAAAATAGTTTTGTAATGGCTCATCAGTTCTTCATCCCTAGTTTGCCATGAAAAGAAGTGAAAGAATTTCCTTTTCAATCCTTTCCTTTTAACTGCCTTTTACTGAGGGAGAAGTTACTTTTATTTTGAACTGTAAATATACTATTTGATTTGCGCTTTTCTATTTTTATGTGACAGCTTTATGTCTTTTGGAAGTGAAGGTTCCTGGGTTTTAATTTCTGTTTTCTTTCTTTGATAGAGAAGAAGCTCTAAAAAGTGCCTTCCCTATGGGAAAATGTCACTTCCCCCTTGTAATAAATGTGATCTAGCTGCCCAAAACTATCTTCCTGTCAACATAATGCTCTATTTTAGAATTGTATCAAATGTCTTGCATGTAAATAATAACAGTTTAATAGAGCTGATTGAGAAGCCATCCTTACTACAGCTTCTGTGTGTGTGTAATCAAGTTGCTTCTATTGCCTGGAAACCTTTGAAAATTACTGTGCCTTTATCAGTGAAATTTTTCTTACTCAGTTATTTACAGTCTACATGTCCCATGTGCAGCAAAATATCCCTCTCCACTGCACAGAGCTTGACAGTGAACTAACGTGAGAAATTACCCATGTAAATAAGGGGACTAAGGAAAAGTGGGGAGGAGTTGCCAAAAGGTTTATCATTTTTATACTGATTCCATACAGCTGTACTGCTAAGAAACTCCCTTCCACGCTAATCCCCCTTTGTGCAGGACACCACAGGTCTGTAACAGAGGAAGAGAGTTCTACCCAAACAAGTTTTGTCCCCACGTAACCACACAGAGAAACTGTTGCATGACAACAGGTAGGAAGCACAGACAAAGGAACTGGCAGTGGTCTGACTGTAAGAGACTACTTGCTTGTACTTAGGTGTGGGGAGCATTGCACAAAAGCTCCAGCGATGGCTGTGGGAGGAGGAGCAGTGTGGCTCTGCAGGTATCAGTGGGGCACATCTCCCAAGTGTGAGAAGCATCACAGCTGGGCACTTAGAGGTGGACTGAGTGGACAACAAAAGAGGTAGCCACAGGTCAGACAAAGGCAGGAGTAACACTGACTGATGGGGATATCCGAAACATTCCAGTATGTAAAAAGACCCCATCGTTTTATGTTTGGAGAGATGGACGAGCATGAGTTAAAAGAGGTGATGTAGCCAAAGCAACAGGGTAGGACGGTAGGGCTAATAGCAGTAGAGCTGATGGATGTGACTATAGCATGATTTGCTTTTGCCACAGGCTAAAAAGGGGCTGGAAAATTTTAACTTTCATGGATATTTTGGAAGGGCTGTAACTCCAATTGTGTTAGCACAGCTAAGCCGTCATGGCGCATGAGCATCTGTAAGTTGTTTTCCCGGGTAGCTCATGGCCTGGGCAGAGAGCTGGGGTGATGGTGCGGCTGTGCTTCGTGGTCATGGGGGACAGTGGTGTGAGCACTGAGGGCAGGGAAAACAAGGGCCTGTTAGAGCTGTATGGCCTGATACCCATCTCGTTGCACCAGAAGACACGGGAAGGTTTTATTTTGTAGAAGGGAGTCAGGTGTGGAGTGGTAAGATCAATTTGTGGATTATTTTTTACAGAAATCACAATTGTGGGGTTTTTTTCCTTGATTATTAATGAGATTGTTCAGACATAGGAGGGACAGAGAACCAAGGCGCATCCGCAGAATCCCAGGGAGAGTTGGTAGGGTTAACACTTTTGAGGAGCTTCCAGAAAACATGCTGACAAAGAGAGTAGAGAGGTGGGGAGAGAACTGCTTTCTGAACAATAAAAGAAAGTAAATCTTTAGAAGTAGGATAAAGCCTTTCCCTTGACCGCTTTAACTTGCCAACGAGCAATTACTCAGCAGATCACTCTGCTGTTGGTCTCAGCAGCTGTTGACCTTGGCAGCATTTCAAGGGTTGTAGTTATACACGGATGAACTGCTCTTGAACAATTTTTCCAACATATTAAGCACAAACAAGTTTTTCCTCAGCACTAGGCAAGCAGGTTTGTCTTCCTACCTGTTTATTCTTTAAACTGGTGTTTACTTTGCGGCTGCTGTAAAGATCGTTTGACTTGTTTATATTGGCCTTACAGCCTCCAAGACAAGTAATGAGGCTCAGGTTCTAGCCTGCTGTTATATTTATTTTTCTCAGACCAGTTTTCTTCGGGTGCCCAGTGTTATGGAGAAACCAGGTAATTTTGTTGCACACTTCCGAGATTATTTCCACTTACTGGAGTAAGAATTGCTACCTCCTCAGATTGGCAGATGAAGAGTCAGATTGCCTTTCCCTCGGCTACCCTAGAGTAGGTAGTAGCTTGTTTTGAGCAATACATTTCAGAATATAAGGGACATCACTGTGCTTGTCCTTGCAAACCAGTTTTTTATTGTCACCCTCCATTTGTAACCCAGGCGTTTTATGCTATTTTCAACTTGGTAACAGAATATTTATGTAATTTCTGTTTAAGCATGCAAAAGACTCCCACTCTCCCTTTATATGTCTTAAGTTCTTATTTCTAAAAGTCGTTAACCATTTAGCTGCAGTAGTGTGAAGTATTTTAGAAATGCAGGTATATTTGTTGCAGCTATTAACTGAGAGTCACATGAAGTGCAACAGCCTAAATTTACAACTTCTTTGGGAAAGGAATACTCCAAAGAAGTTGTAAATTTTTAAGGCAATGCACTTTATTCACTTTTCATGAAAGGAATGGCCCACCAGGTCTCTAGCTGGATGCACAGAATGGGGTGGATATGTATGCATTAATCCCAGAGGTGCTAACTGGAATGTGTACTGAATCACCTAAAGCCGTAACTCATTTGATCAAAGAGATTATGGTATTTTTGTGAAGGATGAATGCCATCTAAAATGGTAAAAATGTTTTGTACCTCAGCTAATGTATGTGTTTCTAAATTTTTATTTGTTTTATTTTATTTCTTATATTTAAATTTTATTTTTATATTTTTATGTATTTCTAAATGCTGGCTATCTGTCCAGTTTCATTTTCTGTTAGCCAGCTAGTTGTGTTGTTAGTTGACATATGTTAAAGCGTAGGAAGAAGGAAAAAACAAACCTGTCTCCTTAATTAAAACAAGGCACTCCTTAGTTTTATTCCTGTCTCGTATCTTTTGAACCTTAGACTGCTTTTTGAGTTATGCTGACTTTTATGTATATGTCAAGATACTCAAATGGGAATTTGGCCAAAGGAAATTCTAACTGGACTAAACTACCAGCGACTGCTTTTTTTTTTTCGCTTTTATTTCAGTACTTCGGGATATTGGAAAGCAAAATCACAGGCGACTGCAAAAGTTTGGGCTTTTTTGTTCGGAAAAAAACTATTTTAAGCATCAGCATTTCTGTAAGGCTGAGGATCACAGGATCTGAATTGAGAAATAATGTACATGGGTATTTTATATACTTTTGATTTGTGAGAGGGAACAGAATAGACTAAACAGAGCAGGTTTTTTATCTTTTTTTGAAACAGCGTGAGGAGTAAGGTGGGCAGGATTGTTTTGACTAGTGTGGTATACCTGATGTGTGTTGCTGATAGCCGCTGTTCCCTTACGCATCTCTGGCACGGGGTAGCTCCAGCTTCAACACCACACATGGGCCACACGTGTGAGTCATTGCCTTTGCTTGGAACACAGACTTCCAAAGACGGATATCCAAGATGTTCAGCAGATAGCTACATGTTCGGTGTTGCGAACATGGGCAAGGAATCTAATAAGAATTAACAAAACTCAAGTTTTATTGCTCTTGTTTGACATCCTACCAATTTGAACTAAACACTGGCAATGTATATTTCAAATGATAAAGAGTTTAAAACATCTAAATTGCTTACTGTCTTTTCCCACATGTCCTGTGGTTCTGTGAGAACAGGTTAAATCAACAGCCGACTGCAAAGCTATGGAAAATCACCTGTCAGTTGTTTATTTGGTCTGGAGTGACTTGGGTCTGAGGTGAACATGCATATATTAGTTTGTGCAGCTCAACCTGCATTTCAGTGTGATGCAGGGCTGTACAGGCACAGCTGGTGCCCAGGTGATAGCCTGGATGAAAATTTTCTCTGTAATTAAGTTTTCATAACACAGTTGTGCTAAAATAATGGGGTTTTTTTCTGTTCTGTCCTGGCTTGCAATGAGTTCAGCGACCCTCTCCTGTTGGAGTAGTCATTTTGTGAAACTGGAACAGGTATTATTTCAGAAAGTGTGTTATTTTTTGTGATATAACTGGCCTGCTATAACAGCCTGTGATATAACTGTACCCTGAGTAAATTAAGTAACTGTCATAGGAAGCCCATAAATATGAATACTTTTCCAGCTGCTTTTCCATTAAACTCTGTTAGCTGAATGAAATTAGTAAATAATTATGTTGGTGGGGAATCTGTTGTATCCATGTGCTGTGTAACATCTCAGTTTTACAATGCAGCTTAATTTTTTCTATAGGCCAAATTAGTTTTACAGTAATCTAAATTGCAAATTGGCCAATTTGCATTAAAACTATGCGTTCTTGCTCAGATTTGTCAACACCTCTTTTTTAAAAAAGTCTTTAACATTAAGCATGGGTGGGTAAGACCATCTGTTTATGGAGCTTGCCTGCAGCTCCATTACTTAACATATGAGACAGGTTACAGCTGTTTAATTGTTATCATGTTGAACGATTATCTTTCAGCCCAAAATTAATATTTATATATGTATGCATGGAAAGCATGTCGTTAAACATAAGTGATCTAAATGTGGATTAATGTCATTAAACATTCATATTAATCCCTCAGGAGGGCTAAAGTTTGCATCACGGTACTTTCATGCTACTTTTGAGTGCTGCGTGAGGCTACTTTACTTTCACAGACAGAACT